GAGTATTTCCAAAATTAATGCTATTAGAAGGGGGGTATTAACTATCCCCACATATACTAGCAAAAGTAAGACGAAGCAGGCGGCGAGAAAGACGTGGCAGCAAACGCGTGATCCTACTGATAAAACCAGATACAATCGTGAATCCCAGCAACTAAGACGCTGTATTAGAAAATACAAAGAGGATTCGGTTGCTAATTATGTTCAAAATTTGACGGCGTGTGAGAAAACCAATTACTCACTGTGGAGGGCAACAAAGAAAATGAAGCAACCTATCAAACATCTCGCTCCAAAATATTAAAAACAAAGATGGAACGTGGGCAAAAACTGACAAGGACAAGACAAATGCGTTTGCGGATCATTTGGCCGATATATTCTGCCCGCATTACAGCCAAAGCGTGTATGAAAATGAAGAATCTGCTATTTGTTGAGGATAGCGTGACTATTCCAATTGTCAAGGAAAGAGATGTTATAGAAGAAATCAGGACTCTTAAACCAAAAAAGCCCCCAGGATTTGACCTAATGAGGGCCGATAATTTGAAAAAATTACCCAAAAGGCAGAGATAATCATGCTGCACAAACCTGGCAAACTTGTAGACAGGCCGACCTTTTATAGGCCAATCTCATGGTTGCCGATGATTTCAAAACTGCTAGAGAAACTTTTATTGAGAAGACTTCAGCCTATAATTGAAAGTAAAAGGTTAATCCCGAATCATCAATTTGGTTTTCGTCGGAACCACTCAACCATAGATCAGATTCATAGAATAACTGACCTAATAGAGAATTCACTGGAAGAAAAAACAATGTGTTCCATCATATTTTTGGATGTAGCCCAGACCTTCGATAAGGTTTGGCATTGTGAATTAATAAAAAAACTTTGGCGATTACTACCAAAGCAGTATGTTGACCTGCTCGAATCTTACCTGACTAATAGGGTATTTCGAGTTAAACAGGAAGAGGAGTACTCTTCGCTTATTGATATCAGGTCGGGGGTACCAAAGCGGAGTATATTGGGCCCGATATTATACTTGCTATACACGTGTGATATTTTTGAATCGGACGAAATGAAAATGAATCTACACAAAAATAAAGGGCCAGTGATGAGATCTCAAAATGGATTAGAATGTGAAATATAAAACTTAACGAGGTGAAATCAGTACACGTAAGTTTCACTAATAGGAAAATTAACAATTCATTTTCGGTTCGGATAAATGGCGTCTTGATTCCGTCCGCAAAAACGGCGAAGTATTTGGGAATGACGTTGGAAGCGAAGCTCAGATGGAAGGAGCACATAAAGAAAAAAAGATCTCAACTAGAGGAGGAATACAGAAAGTTTGAATGGCTTTTGGGGAGGCGTTCAAGATTGACAGTATATAACAAAGTTTTGATATATAATCAAATATTTAAGCCTGTCTGGGCTTACGGTATTCAGTTATTGGGCTGCGCTGCGCAGACTCATATCCAATCTATACAAAGATTTCAAAATAGAGTATTACGGCATATTGTAAACGGCACTTGGTATGTCCGTAATGCCGACATACACAGTCACAGACCAAATTAAAAAGCAAGCATCCAATCATAAAATGCGTTTATCCAATCATGTCAACATCGAGGCGGCTCGATTAGTTGATAATCAAAACTTTGTTAGGAGACTTAAACGTACGAGACCTCTCGTGTTAGTTTAAAGTTTTTTATCTGGAACAATGAGTACTTAGTACGCTATTGTTCCAGATCAAAAGCATGTAAATAATCAAAAAGGTTAGAGCAAAATTAATGGTTAGTCGTTTCCAACTCGTTTTATAATTTATTTTGAGTAGTGTGTTTTTTAGTGCATTGAAGTTCCACACTACTGCTTTTCGTCTGGCAGTGTCTTTCGAGATTTTTCAGCCTTCCTCTCGGTAAAAAAAAAAAAAAATATAAATCTAGGTTTTTCTGTCAGAACAATATATCTACTTTTTTGACAAAAAGAGTTGTGAATGCAATATTATTTAAAATTTTGAACGCCTTCTAGTGCAAGAAAAAAAATAAATTTTTCGAGTAGTTTTAAAAAAATCTTAAAGCTATGTCACAATATAACTAACCGATTGTTCCAAAATTCTATTTAATATTTCGGACATGATTAGATATCAACAGTTATTCACTTCTCGAGATGAAAAAATTTTCTAAGGCATTGAAATATAGATATGTCGTGAAAGTGTATTCTAGTCTATTTACCATTTCGTTTCAAGTTGAGAATTAAACATCTGCATGTGTTCATTTCCACATTTCATATTTAAATGTTCATGTTGGTTATTCATATAAATGAAACGCACGTTTAAGAGCATTTAAAACCAGATAAGTGAACTTATTCAGTTTTGATTGATACTAATTGCAATTGGGAAAAGTTCATATCTTATTTGATATTTCTATATCAAATAAGATTATATATATGTTAAAATTTTAATACTATGTAATATTTAGTACCAACATTTTTAAATGCTAACTTTTTAAATCATCTTCACGAGTTAATGTAAAAAAAATAACACAAAAAAATTTCAATGGTGTTTTACTCGAAATGGCAAAAGTTTAGATATCATGTTCTGACAGAAAACCCTAGAAATAAAAAATCTGTGACATCCAAATCGGTTGAAAACAAAGTTTTATTACAATTTATATACATCACTAATACAAATTTATGTTGCCTAAACAATACATTGCAAAAAAATTCAATGTTTATTTTTATGTTTTGGATCACTACTTTGAAAATAAAATAATGAAATTTAAAAAAAAATTAAAATTCATAGAAAAACGCTCAGGCTATCGATAAAAATTTTCAATGCATACTATAATCCTCTAAAAGTTTAAGTAAAGTATAATAAAATTTTTAAATTCAATTTTTAAAAATTGAAATTTCTAAACAATATAGTTGATCTTTTTTTAATGCAAAATATATAGTATGTACATAGGAACGCTCAATGTACGCAGACTTTTTCTAATAAGTGTAAGTTAAATTGAGAATGTCTAATTTCAAGTTTTAACAAATTTTAGCATTTTCATAGTGCCCCGTTATTTAAATTTTGCTTTTCGTACAAGCGAAAAATATTTAAATTTCAATTAAAATTTTCCGAAGAAATTAAATTAAATTCAATAAAGTTATTTTTTAAAAATATTAAAAACATTAAATTTACAAGCAAGAATTATAAATATGTATATATATTTTTTAATTGTAAACATAAATTTAAAAATAATAAAACATTTTTTAAAATACTGTTTCACGCTTTTTGCAATTCAAATTTTTTGCTTTAAATATCTTTGAAGTTGTATATTGTTGTACACATATTTATTTTTTCTTTTAAAACATTACCTGTTAATAGACTAGGCACAGATATCCCTCCCTTAACGACATTTTTGGGACTGAAAATTTACGACGTAAATCGAAATGATGTTATTCGAGGTACATATAAAAAATTTATTTTAAACACCTACATACACATTTCTTTTTATCTATGAAATAATAAACAATTATATTCATAAACTTAAAAATTTATTTCAATTTTTTGTCGTATATTAGACAAAATGACCTAGGTACATAAAAAAAGGCTGGGATTGAAAAAATCGATTTTCAGGGTCAGAAAAAAAATTTAATTATCAAAATGAAAAAAATTTTTTTTTTGGTAGAAATTTACTTCGGAAAACAAAACTTGGAACGAGGAAAACGACGCTATGTAAATTAGTGGTATTAAAAATTAAAAGAGCGTAAATCGAAATGTCGTATATCGAGGGGCGCAAATCAAGGGATACCTGTATATAAATTTTTTAAAAATATTTAACAACAACGATAATTAAACGCAAAACAAATATTTGGGGGTTGTAAAACGGAAAGCTTATAAGATGCTATAGTAGACGCAAAAATTATTTCTTAAAAATAACCATTTGATTTTTCTGTTTGCTTAATAGGAAATAATCGCAGAAATAATTCGTTTAAATCAGGCATGTTGGAGCACAAAATGGCACTGTCAGTTCCTAGAGGTCGGTTGCGGTAATGGCAGAATATAAAGGAGTCATTGAAACGATCAAAACAACATTCGTGTCGTGGTCATGTCTCGAGGCCAATCCCTTGCTTTGTAAATTTCAGACAATAACAACAACGATAACAATAACAACAAAAATCACAACAACAACAGTAACAACCATACCAACAACAACGACAATATCACATTAACACTACATCAGTAGGTGGTCAAGGTTCTGCGAAACCAGAACTTTTCTCGACTGACGCAGAAGAGGAACTGCTTCTCACGACAGTAGAGGAAAAGGCGGCGCATCCAATGGAAATGGGTAATTAGTATTTTATTCGACCCATTATCTAACAAACTGAGGAGGACCTGGAAATCAGGTGGAAAAACAAGATTTCTCTGCTGCATCCAAGTAACGAAAAGAAAAGGTTCTTGAAGCTGGAGCCTGCGGATAGGATTTTGTGGTAAATCATCTCCCAAACGGTTCCGGGGGTCGTGGGTTCAAATCCCGCGGTGATCGCAATAATAATGATGAAGTTACTGAAAAAGTAGCTAGCACAGCGTCCACAATATAGCTAAAAAATAATAGTAAGAATATTTGTATAACCTTAATATGAAATAATTACCTATAAAAACTATATCCAATATTATAACCCCAAAAATATTCAATATAAATAATAAATTTCATAAATAATACTAAAATATAACTATATGACTGTCTGACATAACTTGACAACTGAGTGACATCTTCACCATGTGTGGATAATATTGTCTTGGTTATCCGCAATGGCAGCACGCAAAATGGCTCTACTGAACGATAGATGGCCAGGAAAAACATTGTATTAACCATCGAGTAGATAGCTGCGGTAGACTAATCATCTGCTCAGTGAAAATTTACTGATTTTCGAAACGGAAGCAGAGCCTCGGATAAGAAATATTGACAACACGGTAACGACTATTGCAACTAAAATAAGGACAAGATTTGCACAATGGAATATTCGTACACTAATGGAAACGTCAAGACTGGCTCAATTAAAGGTGGAAATGTTTAGATATCGAGTAAAAGTTATGGGTGTATGTGAAGTCAGGTGGGCTGGTAGCGGCGAAATAATCACGAAAAATGCTAGTCAAATGTTATACTCGGGGAATGATCAGGGAGGTAGTAATGGAGTTGCAATATTGTTAGATAAAACCATTAGAAAATCCTTAATAAATTGGAAACCAGTTTCTGATAGAATCATAACGGCTAAATTACACCCCAGACTAAGAAAGATGACGGTGGTTCAGTGTTATGCCCCCACTGAAACCTCAGATGACGAGGCTAAGGATGAATTCTACTACCAACTAAGTAACGTATTAGAACAAATTCCCCGGTCTGAAATAATTGTGCTAATGGGCGACTTTAACGCAAAAGTTGGTACAAGAGACTAGTACATTACCCAGTAATGTAGTGGGTCCATTTGGCTATGGCACTTTGACCAACAATGGCAGACGTCTCATCGAAATATGTACAGAGCACAACTTGGCAATTGGTGGAACATTGTTCCCCCATAAAGACATTCATAAATACACATGGGAATCACCAAATGGCCAAACCAGAAATCAAATCGACCATATCTGCATCAGCAACAAATGGCAATCCCTACTAGACGTGAGAAATCGTAGGGGTGTTGATATCCACAGCGATCATGTGCTTCTTACTGGTGATATAAGATTAAGACCATCTTCGATCCACGATAGACTTAACAAGAGAATGTGAAAATTAAATATGGCGGGGTTGGCAACTGAAACTACAAAGAATGAATTTGTATCCAGCATTCAGAATGCACTAACCACCGAATGTAACATTCAGGAAATATACAGACGTACGGGTGAGGAAGTACTTGGCTTGGTAGAACCAAACCGAAAAGAATGGATATCAGATGAAACATGGTCGAAAATACTGCAAAGAAGAAAGATTAAAGAGAAACTTCTCGCACAACAATCAGAAACCTTGAAACAACAATATAATCATCTAGCAAGAGAAGTGAAAAGATCTGCCAGAAGAGACAAACGAAAGTTCTATATCGAGATAGCCCAAAATGCAGAAACAGCCGCACGCCGTAACAATATGCGCGACTTATACAAAAACATTCAGAAGTTGACAAATAGAAGAAACAATAAATACCCAGCCAGAAATCTCAATGGTGACTTACTTACCTCCACTCAAGATCAAATGCAGAGATGGAAAGAGGATTTCGAAACAATAGGAAATAATAACAACAGCATAAATAACGAACCCATAGAGGCAGAATCGAGAATCCACGTCCAAAACAATCGCATCAACCAGGGCACCCCAACGCATAGAGAAGTCATGCAGGCCATTGACAAGCTGAAACGTAATAAGGCCGAGGGGCAAGATGGTATAGCAGCCGAACACCTAAAAATCAACAGTAACACAGCCGCTCAGAATTTGCAACCGATCATGGAACAGATTTGGCATAATGAAACTATACCGAATTCTTCGAAAAGAGGCATAATAATAAAGATACCCAAGAAAGACGATCCGAAGAAGTGCAAGAATTGGCGTGGAATCACCATACAAAACTCTATTAATAAGGTTCTGGCCCTGATAATTCTCGCAAGAATAGAAGATCAAATAGAATTGCGGGAAGAACAAGCTGGTTTCCGTAAACAACGCAGTTGCATGGACCAATCAAACACATTGAGAATCATTGTGGAGCAATCAGTTGAGTGGAACTCACCATTATACATCACTTTCGTAGATTTCGAAACAGCATTTGATGCAATACATCGCGAAAGCATATGGGAGGCACTAAGAAAGAAAAGAATCCCGCAAAAAATAATCAACATAATAAAGGCACTATACGAAGAAAATGTAACTAGAATACTACATGGTGGTGCGCTAAGTGAGCCAGTAAACATAAGCACTGGAGTGAAACAAGGCTGTCCACTCTCCCCGGCGCTCTTCAATTCAGGCCTAGACGAAGTAATGAAAGAAGTCACACGCACGCCTAGAGCTTTAAGATGGTCCGCCTAGAGCGGACGACATTGCCCTCCTTTCTCATACATATGAAGAGATGCAAGCCAAACTCGATCTCCTGCACGATAGAGCAAAAGAAGCTGGACTCCGAATTAACACAGACAAAACTAAGTCCCTAAGAATAAATAGCCGGGACTCGGGCCAATTCAAGATAAATAATTCACCAATAGAAGATGTAAATAAATTCAATTACCTCGGTAGTATAATTACTACTTAAGGGGGTACAGAAGAAGACATCTTCAATAGAATCAGGCTGGCTAGAGCAGCATTTGGAAGAATGTGGACTGCGTGGAGATCGTCTAGGCTGAGCAGAAAAACCAAATTAAGGCTGTTCGCAACTTGTATAAAGCCGATATTGTTGTATGGGAGTGAATCCTGGCACGCAAATCAGTCCAGCATTAATAGTGTTCATGTATCAGAAAAATATGCGGAATCTTCTGGCCAAGAAGAATATCAAATGCTGAGCTGTGGAAGCTCGCAGGTGAAGAGCCCGCAATGCTACAGATAAGAAGAAGGAAATGGCGCTGGTTGTGGCACACGCTAAGAAGACCACAGGCTGCGATATCGCGCCAAGCATTAGAGTGGAATCCACAAGGGAAACGTAAAGTTGGAAGGCCGGAAATGACTTGGCGTCGAACAATAGACAAGGAAATCATTGAGAGCGGCAAGATCTGGGCACAAATAAAACATCTGGCCCGCAACCGAGTGAGATGGAGAGGCTATGTGGAAGCCCTATGCTCCCCAAGGGAGTGAACAAAGGAGAAAAAAAAAAAAAAATCTCCCAAAGGAGGGAGAGGTCAGAAAGCAACACTTCTGATGCAGGGTCCTCAAAAAAGAAGTCGATGAAAGGTGACGTTGAGGAAAAGATCCGTGGGAACATTCACCAACAACACCCAAAAATGACTTCTTATCGGGATGCAGTAGCACAGGTTAAGGTGGCCATCGCTCAAAGATTGCATCTAGAAGAAAAACTATCCGAAGCCAGATGGGGAAAATCAAAGTAGCCGTCATGGATGAAACGGATAAAATTGTGGGGCGTAATTCACAACTCATTGCAACATTGCAAAGGGATGGATGGATATCCGTGACATGCAACAATCAAAACACTAGGAATTGGATCAATCAAGACACTAACTACTGTCTGTAAGAAGATAGAACCTTGGGACGGCTGAAACGTCTCGTGATGCTGGACCACGGCAACATTTCTAAACAACATTTGTGCGTCACCTACATGATAAAAAACAAAACAATCATCAATCTCTCCAGGCACAAATTTCTCAGCACGATAGGGATGCAAATAGGTAGGACTAATAAATATACACCAAGCAAGAGCTTCTACGGACGCCTTAGCACGTATATTTGGGAAGGGTTACCTCGAAATTGTCCTTATCCAAGAGCCTTACATAATTAAGGATGAGGTTAAAGGACTTTCAGGTGAGGTATAGTATGATAATGCAACTGGAGGAAAGCCAAGGGCCTGCATGTTGGTTAGTAAGAGACTAAAATATCTTCCAATTCCAGACTTTCGCACCAAGGATCAGGTGGCTGCAATTGTGAAAGTGTGGTCACCAGGCGGTTTGTTGCATGGTTATCTTATTGCATGCATGTTTATCCTCCCGGGAGGCTATGACCGTCCAGAGCAGCTGAAATAATTAGTGGACTTTTGTGGGAGGAGGAACTTCCAACTAATAAAAGGAAGTGATGCAAATGCACACCACACCGTCTGGGGAAGCAGCGATTTAAACAAGAGAGGTCATTCACATCACTCTGTGCACCGAATTTATTAGCAATAGGGTCGAAGGGTAGGATGTGTCAAATGAGACATATATGTACGATCACAGACAGATCAGATTTAACATCATGATGTCGGATGGTCTTACGGAAGAGATGGTCCTTAGATGGAAGATGCTATAGAGTGCGCTCTGTACCTTCTTCTGTCAGGACCAAAACGGACATCGAGCTGTCTAATGGAAGCTTCACAGTGGCTATTATTGATGCCTATCGTGGCTGTTATCCTCACAAAACGTAGGAGCAGGGAACGATTAACGAGTTCCACTCTGTTTGGTGACCGCATCGCGTACTCTAAGGAGGTCCAGTATTTGGAGGTAACCTTGGATGATTGTCTCTCCTGGAATACTCATATAGGCCGGGTCATTGAAAGGGCAACGGAGGCCCTTGGACGTGTAGGAGTTTTGTTAACAAAACTTGAGGCATTACTCCCAGGGTAGCACAGTGGCCGCGATAGTTGCCTACGATGTGGTGCCGTAAGGTAGAACAGATGGTTGTGCTGTTGGGAAGGCTTCAGAGGCTGGCTAGTCCGGGAGTTACTTTGGCAATGCGGACAGCTCCCACGGCTGCTTTGGAGGCATTGGTTGGATTGACTCCGTTGCATCTCTACATTGCGCGGGAAACTTGGCTGACAACTAACCGATTTTTTGCTAGTGACGATATTGCGGAGAAAAGATAGACATACGCCATTCATGTGGCTTTCGTTGAGAGTGATTCAATTCTTTTCTCTCGGACGGCTGTCTCCCACGGTATAACTTCGGTCGGGAATAGTGTTTCCTGATTGATATATGTTGGGATAGGTTGGCTCAGACTTTGAGACTGGTTCGAGTGTTTGGTACAGTTATGGGCTCAAAACGTACTCGGTAGTGGGTTCAGGTTTATACGGAGTCCGGCCGAACGCACATATAAGCACAAATCTGGATCCGTATTGCTCGGTGTTTTAAGCTGAAATACATGCAATAGAAATGTGCTCTCTGACAGCAGGGTGGCATTTTTAGTTTCTTAAGCGCAGTGAACTTTAGTAAACTTTAGTTTCTGGAAGCGTATCCTCTTTTGTTTTTGGGCCAGCTTCATAATATTATTTTTAAAAATACATATTCAATATTTACTTATGACTTATATTTAATTGCAAATTTTGATTTTTATTTAATCTTTCTTTCCGTTTTGATAAAATACTTACATTCATTCTATTTAAAATTAGTAAAAACTGTTATTACAAATTATAAAGTGATAAAATTCGGCGAATGCGGAAATCGTGCTTTAAAAACCGTCATGAAAATTATTAACCTGTCAATCAAAATCGGCGAACAAGGAATTCCAGCTTAAGATAACTGACGGTTTACACACTTCACAGCTCACGAATTTATACATATTTTAAGGCCTATTTTAAACCTGGTAAATTTCTCATAAAAAAGTTATAATTCAATCTTAATTAATGTTAACATATGTACATATTATATGTATTTCTGTTACAGCAACATTGACAAATTGATTACAAGAAAACCTTTCTGTCTCTATTTTTGCAAACCCTAATTGTATTAACTATTAAAAGCGCCATAATAATTATTTAGTGCTTTTAATAATTCATTAAATATAAAAATAATTTTGTAATTATTATAAAATTCAAAATCCAATATTATTTCAAATTTAGACTCTAATTTAAAATCTAATAAAACTTTTATATAAATTTGTTTTATTTTGTGTATTCCAGAAATGAGAATTTTTTTCTTTCTGCGAGAAATTTCGTCATTGTTTCTCTTTTTAAAGTTTTTTCAAGTTTTATCCCAGACAGACCTATTGTTTAATTTTATAGTATCTACATCCATAAATATATTAATTTTTGAATTTATTACCAGAACTGCTGACAGAATAGGAAACTCTTTAATATTTTTTTTCAATGACTAAAAATTTCGTTTGTTTTGAATATT